AGGGGTCCATTTTAAACAAGCGGATCAGACCTACCGGTTCGGCCGCTACAAAATATCCTGGAAAAGATAAGATTAGGGATTTTTAATTTTTTGCGCAAGTTATAGGATAAACAAAGAGGATGAGATAGGTATGCAGACGCTTACATGTAGCCAGATTAAAGTTTGGTCGGGGTATTTGAGGTGTAATCATCGAATGCCCCACAGGTATATCACTATTTAAAAAAGAACTAGAACATAGACCCTGTAAGAAATCCGCGCACCTAACACAAAGAACATCGTCAATATAGGATTTATTGAGAATAATTTTCAAAAAGTACAGAATCATAAGACGGTCACGACCAAAAAGTTCACTAAACTGATTTCCATCCGTAAGGCAATAGGTCGTCTTTAATTGAATCAATTGCCACAGTTCCTCCATTAATTATTCCACATGAACGCAACCTTTGCCAGGATAGCCAATAAATATGTAAATGAGTAAAGTCACTTTTCAGTACACACAGACTACCAGATGATAATGGTAACTCAAAAAAAGAGGAGCATTAGCACACAAAAAAGTGATGTGTACTTTGAGGACAAATTGAAATGAACCTTGTACTATAGTTGGTTGTGTAGGTAGATTTCCTTCCACCGTATTTAGGCTGTTTCAATGAAGCGCAAGTATGAGTACTCAGAAGAGTTTTTTAAGGTCAACAGAGTGACCACTATCTGAGTATAAATGCACAATTACCAAATAAACTGCTTAATCCTGTTATAAAAATTACGCTGGATAATTTTTTTTAATAAAGACTGAAGCCATAACAAGTCAAGCAATACACAGTTGCTTGTGTGTCAGTCTTTTTCTAAGTCTATTTGGGCATGATGAACCGACAGCACCAGAACCTGCGCCGCAGTTAAATATTAGTGCAAATTGCACGGAGTCCGAGAAATTGAGAACGTATCTTTAAGGCAAATGCTTCTTCGATCTTGAAAGGAGTTGAATAAACGAGAGGGTAGAGAATGAGATTCATGCACTTTTTACGGCTAGGGATGGCTTACACTGTACCCCATGCAGTTAAATACAAAAATCGTCTAGAAAATGCGCAAGAGTTGTAATCGGGACAGAGCCAAGTTTGAAGAGGAACCAGGCGATACCGTCCAGTTCACTGGATGTTGGGCCATAAACCATTTCTAAATGATTTTCGACTGCAGCCATGAACACTGGACAGAAGGCACTTGAATAAAAAAGTTGGCCCCTTTGCAATAAGGCTAAACAATTAATTTAATTAGTTGGAATTGAAAAAAGCCGTTGCGGTTCTCTGGCCAGTGAATGAAAAAGAGTTATGACTGAAAGACGATGTTCACTCTATCAGTTCCCATTGTTACGATGTCTTTACCTTCGCGTCTGTAGTTATTTTAAATGTCTTTGGAGCCAAAGATGAAAGACATTGATAAAAGTATTATTTAGACAGATGACAAGATACAGTACGTATAAGAAAATCCGTGGCAGTACAAGAATTGAAATTCCTAAAAAGCATATATTTTCACGTTAAAAGTCGCATCCAGGCGATTATTTGAAGAAACACGATCTCCGAAACCCAAGTGGCGCCGTTAAATTATACACATTAAACAGTAAGCTACTCCAAGTGTAATAAAAAACTTCTCTGACAATAAATTGAAGAAGTTGGCTGATTTTCTATAAACGCTTATAAGTTCTTCCGTAACGGAGAATAAATGATTATATCTCATGGACTGTAGGGAATATTTATCTTCCTATGACAGTTCGAATGTCATAACAATACAAGGTCCACCGTGAATTCCAAAGCAAGGTGGCGCAGGGCCTGTGAATCGCGCGTGAATTATTATGTACTTAGAGCAGATTTGTGCTGCATCTACCACGCTCACCCCTCTCTCACCGGGACCCGGCGCCGTGACCAAGCCGAGAAGACTAGAGACAGGAGAGGGCGCAGGTGACGGACGCAGGGAGAATCCGTTCCTAAGCATGTCAATACACCAGGTCGAATTTTACTGGGTAGGAGTGCCACAGAGGCCACATAATGTGTGAACCACTGCATTTTGGGTCTCATTTCGCCGGTCGGCCACTCCAAACAGACATACACTGAGCTCACTACGAGGGCTGAGTTATCCTGGCAGTTAGAAACCTTTCAAGCCACAGCTTTTAGTGCACCGTGATAATTTCACGCGTTTGAGATTATTTTCAGTCATAAAAATGTTCTGAGCCGTCTACCTCACCCACTATTCCCACCCCCCGGGGCCCAGCTGTCCTCTGACGCGGTCAGTCGCCTGTAGCAGTGAATAGGCTCAACTACTGAGGTACCTGATGACCTCGTCTGTGCGTATTACGTACAATGCCTGCTCCCCCCAAACACTAGTATCAGGGTTTGACGCAAAAAGTAGCGAGTAGCTCCCATCTTTCATATGTAACACTGCCAGAAGTCACATTAAAAAGGAGGCATTGTAGCCAGAGTCTTGGACCACCAGTCCGCCACTCCGCGCAAACACACATTAGGCTGACTGCCCGTTCTGACTATAATTCTCAGTTGGCAATCCTCCCTGTTACGGCGCTTAGCGCATAATGGTATTCTCAGGTTCGGATCATACATGCAACAGAAGAGCCACATTGGGAAGAAACCTAAACTCATACTTCCCTGTAATGTAAGAAGTACTGTTTGCAGACATGAGTTGTGTGCTGTCGGGCACAGTCATACGTGATGTAGGTCCTAGTGAGGAAAAGAGCGATGATTTGGTCAAACCTGTTGTGATATACCGCAGATTTTCGGTAAGTGAATGTGCGTGTGGGCAGTGTGAACTAAACGAGCTTCTTTTTCTTTTACCCACCTGACAGGTTGTAGAAGATGATGAGTCGCCACTTCCAAAAGTCAAGCGTCGCAGACTTGTACTTGAATCAAGTGACGAGGAAGAAAATGGTTTGTAGCTTTGGAATACCACATTTGTTTTTTATAGCCTCACCCCCCAGTTCCCCTGTCCGCCGCGTGAAAACTACGGACAGCCCTCTGAACTCTCGAACTCTGAACATCAGCCGGAGCTTTTCAAGGGACTCCCCCAAGACGTCGGCTTCTCTATGCACCAGCTTTGACGAAGAGACTCCAAAAGGCAAAGGCTATGACGCCGAGACTTTGTTGTTGGATATGAGCGGTCGCAATGACAGCATCGCACTTGATGAGACTATAGAGGGTGCTTTTGATGGCAATTGGCCGCACTTAAGTCTGCCCTTCCTGCAACCTGATCGCATCAAGGATATTAATGGACACCGGCCAAATCATCCTGACTATGATCCCCGGACCCTGTTTGTACCCGACGACTATATTGTAAGTCCTGCTTGCCGTACTTTACCAGCCTGAATTCAGAAAGCACAAACCCCCGGATTGCGCCAATGGTGGCAGCTAAAGTCACGAAATGCCGACACGATAATATTCTTCAAGGTTGGCAAGTTCTACGAGCTGTATCATCAGGACGCAGTGACTGCTGCTGAGGAGCTTCGATTGTCCTACATGAAGGGCAAATTTGCTCATACGGGTTTTCCGGAGTCAGCTTTTGAGAAAATGGCTAACCAACTACTTCATAAGGTATGTTTGCAACACCATAAACTCTATTTGACCCATCTAATCCACAACAGAGCTGTTTAAACAAAGACCGGGTTTGGCAAATGCATGGCATAACATAACTGCAGCATTTGCCAGAAAGCATTCAGTGAATGCCGGGGCACCCACAGATGAGCCGAACTCCGCGCAGCTGGGCCACGTAGTGGCAGAATATCCGCGAACCACGCTTGTCTGGGCTTCTAGCTGTTAACTGTGCTGTCAGTATGGCAGATAATTACAGCTTGCGAATATTACGCGGTTATCCCGCAGTGGTTGATATATTTCGGTACCATTCTTCCAGGGTCTTTCAGATGTGCCTTCGATGATTACACTGCTCAATATTGCTTGCGTTTCACTATCAAAAATGACATTTGACGAGCTTGGTCTTCGTAAACGTCAGCTTTGAATCCATTATTATGCATGTAGTCCACGGTATCAAGTATCGGCGACGTGTTCGGCTATTCGCGTGTGATCTACCCGCCCACCTTCCTGTCCAAAACCTAGTC